TGCTTGATTTTCTGAGGCACATTGTGAATGGAATTTTTTTTTTTAATATCTCTTTCCTCTCTTTGATTGTTTGTATATTGGAAAGCCATGGACTTTTGGGTATTGATTTTGTAACCTACCACGTTACCATAAAAATATGTTGTTTCTAGGAGCTTCTTGGTGGAGTCTTTAGGATTTTCTAAGTAAAATATCCTGCCATCTGCAAATTGTAAAAGCTTGACTTCTTTTTCTTATCTGGATGCCCTTGATATCTTTACCTTGCCCAACTGCTATGGCAAATACTTCCAGTACTATATTGAATAGGAGTGGCAAGAGTGGGAAACCTTGTCTGTGCCTGATCTTAGAGGGAAGGCTTTCAGCTTTTCCCCATTGAGGATAATGCTTGCTGTGGGCTTGTGGTAGATGGATTTGACTATATTGAGGAAAGTTCTTTCGACACCCATTTTGTTGAGGGTTTTTTTTTAAATCATAAATGAGTGCTAGATCTTGTAAAATGTTTTCTATGCATCTATTGATATGATTTCTTTATCTTTTATTTTATTGATATGATGTATTATGTTGTTTGACTTGTGAATGTTAAACCATCCCTGCATCCCTGGCACAAATCCCACTAGCTTATGGTTTATGATTATGTTGATGATTTGTTGGATTCTATTTTCTAATTCATTCTGCCACTCTGTCTCTTAATTGGTGCATGCAACCTGCTGATATTGAGAGAGATTATCGTTACAGGGTTTATGCCATATTTCTGTAGGAGTTTGGTCTTATTGTGGAATTTGTCTTAAAGTAACCTGTTTAGTTCTTCTTGTAACCATGTTTTTGAGTCTATGAAGTTCGTGAATTGTTGTTTATCTGTGAAGTTGTGTATTTTTCTTTCAGATCTGAATGAGAGAGTCTGCTGGGTAAAGTATTCAAGCAAGGCATTTATTTCATTGAGTTTTTTTTGGGTTTTTTTTTTTTTTGTTTTGTTTTGTTTTACTATATCCTATCACTGTCTTCCGGCCTGGAGCTTTCATCTGATAAGTCTGCTGTACATCTTAAGGGTGCTCCTTTATAAGTAACTTCCTTCTTTGATCATGCTGCTTTCAGTATTCTTTCTCTATCTGTGGCTTTCATCATTCTGATTAGAATGTGTCTTGGAGTATTTTTATTTGAATTTCTTTTAGCTGGTACCCTTTGAGCCTCCTGAATCTGAGCGTACAAACTTCACCTCTGGGAACATCTCAGCAATGATGGCTTTGACAGTTGCTTCATCATCAGGGTTTTTCTTCCTGCCCCTCTGGAACTCCAATAATTCTTATATTGTTCCACTTGAATTCATCTCTATATTCTCTTGTGATCTGTTGTCTCAAAGTAGATTTATTTTGAGACTCTTTTCCATTTTCTGCTGCTTGTAGATTCTCTGCACCTCATCTTGGAGCTCATTGATTCTGTCCTCAGCAGCTGTTACTTTGTTATTGAGGCCTTCCAGTTGAGATTTTCATTTCACCTATCAGATTTTTGATGCCTGTCATTTCTGCTTCTATTTTTGTTTTTCATTTTCCTCATTTCTGCTCTCATATCCTTTGTATTTTATTGACCGTATGTTCCATTGTTTTTTTGAGCTCCCTATGTATCATTAACATTCCTATTCTAAATTCCTTATTAGAGAGGTTATATCACTCATTATTCCTGGTTGTGTCATCTGGGCTAGCAGTGTCACTCACTCAGCCTGGTGGGTTTCTGCGTTGCATTACCATTTTGACCTTTGCAGTTTGGAGCTGTTTCTTGTGTGTTGCTGTGTGGTTAGGAATCTACAGTTAGGATGTTTTTTATGGTTTTAGTGAGTTATGAAGAGCTGATGGAATGTGAGGCCTGTGTTCGCTTGAACCTCTAATACAGGAAAAATGTGAAGTAACTTCTTTATGTGGATGCACTTGCATTTTAGGGTGAGATTTTAGAGGGGCATGATAATGGGGCATTGCCTGGCAATGGGAATGGGTTCCAGTGGGAAAATGCTGCAGGTTCGGGTTCCAGGGCTTTCATTTTTGTGGGTGCTAGGGCTTCAGGCTCAGGTTTTTTTTCCTAAGAGTGCAGATAAGTGGAATCTTCTAATTCTGCATCTGTCTCTGTTTCTACTCTTAGTTTTCTTTCTTTTTAACCTAGCAGATACATTAAGAAGCCTGACAATAGAAGTAATTGAGGAGGGAGAACAGAGATAAGTTGACTTGAGAACTTTTCTTTTTTTTGACTTGAGTCAAATATGATTCGACTCATTTGCTAAAGTTTAGTCATTTTGAAAAGTTGCCATTATATTCTTTTTATTTTTTTTTCATTTGTTTTTGAGTCACACCTGGTGGTATCAGAACTTACTCCTGTCTCTTTGCTCGGTGGTCACTCCTGGTAGAGCTCAAAAGACCATCTGGGGTGCCCAGGATCAAACTGGGTCATTTCAAGGCAAGAGCACTACCCACCATTCTGTCACTAGAGCCCCTATATACTCTTTTTTCATTGTGTTAGAAGGAAAGCATAATAATATGAAAATTATCCATATACGAAAGGAACTCAGTTTTTATAGGATAGAAATCATAAAATTAAGCATTGTTTCATTTCCAATCTTCTCTTCTGTTTCTCCCAATAGTGCCTTAGAGTTTCTCTGTAGAAATCCCTCACCTCCTTTGTTAAGATTATTCCTATATACTTGATATTTTGGGCACTATTTTGAAAGGGGTTGATTTTTAAAATTTGTCCTTTAGCTCATAATTTGCATAAACCGCCATAGATTTTGTGTGTTGATTTTGTGGTCTGCTACCTTTTTGTATCGGTTTATTGTTTCTAGGATCTTTACAGTTTTCTTGGGTTTTTTGTTTTGATTTTGGTTTGGTTTTTGGGTTACACCCAGCAGTGCTCAGGGCTTACTCCTGGTTATACACTCAGGGATCAGTCCTGACAAGGTTCAGGGGATCACATAGGAGTTTGTCACATGCAAGGAAAGTACCCTACCCACTGTACTATCGCCTCTGTCCCTTGAATGTTTAGGGTTTTCTAAGACAATTTCTTTCTGTTGCTTTCTGGGCCATAGCCGACAGTGTTGAGGGCTTATTCCTAGCTCTGTGCTCAGGTATCACTTCTGACACAATGCACAGGGCTTACTCCAGTCTCTGTGCTTGAAGATGTATATGTAGTGCCAGCAATCGGGCCAGATATTCCATATCTCCCACCCTCTATATATATATATTGTCATGTTATCTACGAAAGGTGATAGTTTAACTTCTTCCTTTCCAATTTGGATCTCTTTGATTTCATTTACTTGTCTGATCTCCACAGCAAGGACTTCCAAATCTATATCAAATAAAAATAAAGAAAGTGTACATCTTTGCCTCATGTCTGATCTCAGTGGGAAAGCTTTCAGTTTTTCACCATCAAGTCTTGGCTGTGAGTTTGTTGTAGGTCATTGTTACTATCTTGAGTTATGTTTCTCCTTCTGTCTTAATTATTTTGAGGTGTTTTGTTTATTCTGAGTGAATAGTGAATCTTGTCACAAGCCTCCTCTGCATCAGTTAGAATAACCATATGATTATTATGGTTTATCATTCTTTTTGTTAACATTGTGTATCGCATAGTTAATTTGTGGATACTGAACTATCCTTGCATCCATGGGATACAATTTATTTTATTGCACTGTATGATTCTTTCTTCTGGAAGTTGGGGACATACCAGGAAGTATTCCTGGCTTACTCCTGGCTCTGCACTCAGGGATCACTCATAGTGGGCTCAGAGGACCATATGGGGTGTCAGGGATGGAACCTGGGTTGACAACATGAAAGGCAAGCACCTTAACCTGCTGTTTTATTGCTCTAGCCTGTTATCTGATGCTTTTGGTACATCATTGTAGTCAATTTGCAAAGATTTTGTTGAGGATCTTTGTATTGATGTTCATCAGGGATATTAGTCTCTACCTTTCTTTTTTTAGTAAGATCTCTGCCTGCTTTTGGTATCAGGAAAATGTTTGCTTCATAGGAGCTGTAAGGAAGAGTTGTTTCTTTGATATTTTGGAAGAGCTCGAGCAGAAAGGTCACATAAGTATTCTTTGAAGAATTGGTAGAACTAACTAGTGAGCCCATCTAGACCAGGTCTCTTGGAAAGATTTTTTATTAATGTTTCAGTGTCCTTACTCATGGTTGATCTGATCAAGTTTTCTGCTTTCTCTTGATTTAATCATGACAGACTATGTTTCTAAGAATTCATCCATTTCTATCAGGTTCTCAAGCTTGGTGGCATAGAGTTGTCCAGAGTAACCTCTTACTGTCTTTTGTATTGCTGAGGTACATGTTTTAATTTCTCCCCATTCATTTCTGATCCTCTTTTTTTTTTTTTTTCGGTTTCTCTCTTTGTGTATGTGTGTCTTTGGCTAAGTGTTTGTCAGTCTTGTTTTTTCTGTTTTAAAAAAGAGCTCCTTGTTTTAATTACCCTTGGTATTATTTTTTAATTACCGTATCATTGATTTCTGTTTTAATTTTTATTATCTTTCTAAACTAATAATTTTTAATGAAGCATTGTGTATTAAAGCTAGTATTTCATCATTAACTCCAACTACGAAGTCTTAATATTGTAAAGTAATGAAATCAAAAGTCAGGAGTTGGGGCTGGAGCGATCGAACAGTGGGTAGAGTGTTTGCCTTGCATGCAGCCAACCCGGTTCAATTCCCAGCTTCCCAGTCCCCCGAATACCACCAGGGTTAATTCCTGAGTGCATGAGCCAGGAGTAACCCCTCTGCATCGCCGGGTGTGACCCAAAAAGAAAAAGGAAAAAAAGCCCATGAGTAAGGACAGAACAGTGAGTTTTCCCTTTCTTGAGTCAGTTGATTCCCTGGGAGTGGCTATAAGGGGGTATTAGAATAAGGTGGCTGGTAACTGTCTTCTCTCATGGCTGAGCAGAGAGCTTCAAGTTGAATGGTTTCCAGTATTTCTTTCCTTATAAATATTGCACCTAAAAAAATTAATGAAGTTCATTTTTATCAGGAGTTGGAAAAGAGAGGTGATGGTGAGAAATCTGATGAGGAAAGTGAAGAAAAAGAAGGAAGTAAAGAAAAAAATAAAGAAGGCGAGGAAGAGGAGGAAGATGATGCAGCAGAACAAGAGGATTATGATGAAGAAGAGCAAGAAGAGGTAATGGCCTATTTTGGCAGACTTGGCAAGCTTCTAAGTTTAAGGATTATATAATAAAAAACCAGATATATGGTAATTAAAATCAAAAAGAGGGACCAAAGCAACAGTACAGAGGGTAGAGCATTTGTTTTGCAAGCGGCCAACGCAGGCTCAATCCCTGGCATCCCATATGGTCCCCGAGCACTGCCAAGAATAATTCCTGAGTGCAGAGCCAAGAGTAACCCCTGAGCATTGCCAGGTGTGACCCCCCCCACAAATGTACAAAATATACCTGTTTTGGGGAACCAACTGTTATCACTGGCTCAGTTCCTTGGTACTGAAAAAATTTCCATATTATTGAAGTGATAATTATAACAAATTAAAGCCATTGATAGAACACAGTACAACTGCAAAGTGCAAGTGGAGATAATTAGAGAATATATTCAGTTGTGCCTTGGGTGTCTGTTAGTTCAAACTCAGTGTTTTCAATTTGAGATTTTCAACTTTTATAAGCATGGTGCGTTTCAGAATAAGTTGAAGTCAAACAATCTATTTTTGATCAAGGTGACCTTGTTGGTCCCAGCCTGTGTTGGACTTTGTACCATCTCATGCAGGTGCCTACACTGAGGGTCTTCTGCCCAGTGACCTCTCGTCCTTCCCTTTCAGCTTCTCACACCACATTTTGATCTTCATCTGAAACTTCTCCAACTATAAAATATCTGTTCTATGCTTTTATTTATACTCGGCCTTAATTTTGTACATTTGGATTCTTTTGAAATTTCTGTTGGTGTACAGTGAGAGGTATGGATTCATTTTTATCTAAGCTGGTTCCAGGTGAATACCAGCCACTAACCTCATTTATTGAATGATTTGCCTTCCTCATCGATTTGGAGCCCTTTCTTTATAAGCTCTTTAATTCCAACATCTATTTATATGTGTGATGGCTCTGCTCCATTGACCTATTTTTGAGCCATCACTGAGCTGCTATGATTTGCTGCTTTGTTGTTGCTGCCTGGTTTTGTTGTGTATTTTTAGGGATCAGTTGTGACTGTGCTGCTAGTTTTGGGTGCTTAACCAGCTTGCCTGGATTTTCAGTTGCAGTGCTCACATACGCCTGGCTGCAGCCTCCCATAGCTCACACATAACTCATAACAGGGGTCCCAAGCAGCTGAGCTGCCAAGACCTTGTGCGGCTCGTGTGGGCAGCACCAGGGACAAACCCAAGACACTTTTTGCAAGGCAGGCACTTTTGCCACTGAGCCATTCCTGAGCCCCCTATGTTTTTTAAAGTCGTAGGGTATGTCTTTTTTTTTTTTCAGTGTTTTTCTCTTTCACCTATTATTTATTCTTCCAGATTGAAATATTCACACACACACACACACACACACACACACACACACACACAGCCCCATAAAATTTGCTTGCCTTGCCAGCAGTGCTGAGAACACCGGAGGCTCTCCGAGCAATCCTCGGCCAATGAGGCAGGTGGTTCAGTCCGAAGGCCCTTGGGTGCAGCACTGTTCGGAGCCTGGAGCCTGCGGGGCAGGGAAATTCCCTCCAGCCAGGTCCCCTCCAGGGCTCTACCTGGCAATGCTTGGGGACAGACGGTGCTGGAAAGATTGAACTGGTGTCAGTGGCATGTAAGGCATGAACCTTAATGCCTGTCTCTGAACACCTGTGTACAAATGTATCGTGGCCCTAAGATACATTTTAGCCCTAAAATTTCAAAATTAAACATGTCACATTTGTTTTGAGCTTTCTTTGCAGATTTTTTTATTTTTTATTTTTTATCACTTTTTTCATTCTCACGGCACTCAATTGTGATTGAGACTGCCAGGCCTTCTGACCTTCTCTTTCTTTTCTTGTGGTTCCCTATCGTAGTTTTCTTTCCTGAGAAGGCTGGACCCTTGCTTACCTATCAACTGCTTTCTTGCCATCACCCTTGGCCTGTGTCCTCCCAGCACATGCTCAAAGTCAAGTTCCATCAATTCCACTATTTCTCCCTTTTCCCCTCCCGCCTACCTATTGAACTTCATATTTTCATGACTCGTTGGTATCTGAGTCAGTTAGTGCTATTGAGGAAGAAATCAGCACAGGTGAATATGAGAAAAAGGCAACCATGTGTCTGTGTGCATGTAAGCAGATGAAAGAGCAAGAGATGTGTTGAAATCTGATAGAATTTATTATTCCTCTGAATTTAGTGTTTATTACTTAAATGAATTGCTTACGATATAGTCTTTAATAATGCTCTTAATGCTCTTTTATTTTAATGTTAACTGAGCCACTGTATTTTATCTTAGGAAAATGACTACATTAATTCATACTTTGAAGATGGAGATGACTTTGGTGTGGACAGTGATGATAACATGGATGAAGCAACCTACTAGCTATGAAAATGCTCAGGAATTATTTTTGTAATACAGCTTTGAAGCCTTTGCATACTTGTTTATGTTGACAAGGAATGAGTGTTTTTTTTGTTGTTCTTATTGTTCACCAAGTGTTTGTTACCGTAACATTTGCAACCACTTTGAATTTACATTCTAAGTATTCTTAACATCTCTGTCATCCCTCATGTGGATTCAAGTTTTTTTTGTGCTGTTTTTGCCTACAGTGTTTGCATCTTTTAATCTATGTGTTAATAATTGAGAAACTTGTTTACCTGCTGATCTTTTGTAGAACTATTACTAGTAATACTGGATTTCTGTCATCCAAAAGTTGACAATACTGCACATGAAGCACTTTAAAAACAAAGAAACTTGAAATAATTATTTTTTTGTTTACATGGTATATCCTGTATTAATACATTATGACTACATATAAGCCTACCAGAGATCGCAAATGTATTTGAGATTAGAAGTTTTGTGATTGAAAACACAGGAACAGCCAATCTGAGCTATATAAATTTCATGCCTTATATCTTAACCAACAGGCTTCACCTAGATGAGTATCAGGAATACTTGAACTTGGAACAGAACATTCATACATTATATGAATATCATCCCTCTGTAATAGTTTTGGTAACTTTGTAACAACTTTGGTTTATGAAAAGCTTGACTGAGTTATCATACTTTGTACTTTAGTACTAAAGTGTAGATTTTAAGTTCTAGGCATGTAAGTCTCACTGAAGAATGCATGTGTGTAAAATCTGAGCTGCTAGAATGGCCTCTTAAATTTCATGGGACTCGAATGATTTCTTAGATATTGCAGAATAAAACTCAGGTCATTTTGAAATTAAGATTAATCTTTTAATTGAAAGCTCAATTCCCTGCCTGTTTCTGTTTTGAGGAAAATACTGGAAAATCCTCAGCCCCTAAAGACTCACAAATGCCAAAGATTCATTGTTGTATAGCTCATAAATTATTTTATTATATTACAAAAAATTACTAGTACTTTTCCTTTGGGAAGGTATCATTTATCATGCTATCATTTGAGAATGAGAGCTCTATTTTTTTTCTACCTTTAGTACTAAAGTTAGCCTTGAAATTGAGGTTTGTTTTCTGTGCCTTAAGTTGTAAACACTTGCCAACAATTTTCTGTAAGAAAATGCTTAACCAGCAACCAAAATTTACCATATGTCGTTATTCTCGAAGTGTTAAACGGTCACTTCTCAAATTGGATGTTTAACCTCTAAAAAGTTAAGAGGTTGGAAAGTTAAGTTTTGAGAAACAAACACATTTTTCTTAAAACATTTCTTAATCTGATTCTCATTTTATATTTTAATGAGGAAAACTGGAGAAAAATTTGTCTTGTGCCATTTAACACAGCATTCTCAGGAAAAACATCCCTTTCAATTTTACTTCCTCAGATAATTCACAATGGTTGTAAGGACCATCATTCTGTGTTTTGTTGATCATGTGAATTACCTTCTTTGAAGGAGTTTAGCATGTACGAGTTTGTCCATTTTTTAAAGATTCTAAATAGAAAACATGAATAAAAGCAAGTCTACTTAGAGTAGCAATCTGTTGTACTTAAGAGTAGGGAAAAATCTTCAGAAGCAAACAGGATCAATTATTCTTACACCTCCTTAGTAACTTAACTACATTTATAGAAATCTCTATCGTTCTTTTTACATTCTTTATTGTAAATCTTCAGATGTTTGCTGCCATCAGGCAAACCTGCCGAAGGCACAGGTGTTTCTTTTTCTGGCTTTCAGTCTTTCTCCGTAGGTTAGTCCTGCAGATGATCGTTCAATCTCTTTGAGCAAGGATTTGCTCTTGGGAAGCCCGATCATCTCCTTTAAAGGCAATCCTCACTCTTGGATAAAAGGGAGGATTGGATCTCTTTATAAATTTAATAGTGAGAAAAAGAAGTTTTGGCTGGTTGCTCGTAATAAAACAAATCTTGTTTTTCTAGTTTAAATATCAGATTGTAAAAATATTCCATAGGAAGATAAACTTTAATGCAGAAATAGCCTATTGAGTATAAAAAAAATAACTGGTAAAAATTAAAATTATGTAATAGGTAGGCCTATTTTATTGCCAGGCTTTTCTGTATTTGTCTACATATTAAAGTCTTACAAAAGTCTTTCTTTCCCTATTCTGGTGCACTTTATTTTGAACTTTCTTGTATTTCATAGAGAACATGAATTCAGTATAAGTTCTACCTACTAACTGTATGCTGAGCAAGGATGCCACTATCAAATATTCTAGGACAGTCCACCACCACTAACAAAAGTAAGCTCTAAGTGATGAAAGTCATAACAAACTAGAGTTGTTCAACATTTAAATTATTAATGTGATCGTTGGCACACTGGAGAGAAGTGAATGCTGTGAAACTCAAAAGGTAAATCTTTCCTTCCCTACCATCTTCCAAGTGTAGAATGTTAGTGGTTTTGCCTTAATATGGTTGAAGACTATACAGTTAGTAAAAAACATTTTACATAAGAATATTAAGTAAAAATGTAAGATCACTTTTTTTTAAAAATCAAGGATTATACTATATATTATTCTACAAATTTTTAAGTTCAAAAATATTTGTGGGGCAGCATGGGAAGGCAGTGCTCGGGGGATCTAGCAGTGCTTAGAGGACCACATATACACTATACTACCCAGATTTAGAACAAGGTAGGGTCTGCAGCTACTGCCACATGCCTGGCAAGCAGCTTAATCTTTGTACTATCTCTCTAGCCCTTCACAATTCTAATATTCTTGAAACGAAAAGTTTTTTTTTCCCCCATGTCATGTAGATAGCACAATTATATGACCACCCACAACTTGCTATCATGGACCACACCCTATGTCTCCCACGAAACTGAAGACCCCCAAAGTTCATTCATTGAAATTTTTTGTTTTATTTACATTGAAGGGTTCAGAATCAATCTGCCCAAAATCCTTTTTGGAACATGGATCAGTTTTGAAATGAAGGAAATGAAGATAATCTAATTTAAAGACAGACTTGACCTCATTATTAATTACCTAGAATAACTTGGGGAGGTTTATTCATGTAAAGAGAGCTATTTACATAAGTAAACTGCCCCAGTGGCGTGGTAAATACCGTTACCAAAAATCTGTTATTACTGTCCCGGTAACATTCCCCCCAGCATTCTCAAGCACCGAGCCCTATGTAGTTCTATAGGTTGGGCCAAAAAAAAAGCTGCTTTTGACACTTGTCCTTGAGATTCAGCTTGGAGATCACTGTAGATGGCAATGGAATTTTTCTTCTGTTTACGTGAATTTGTACTATTGATAGAACAGTCAAAAAACATAGAAGAGTAAGCAGGTCGTTCCTGTACTCCACTCACCTCACCCCAAAATATTGTAAATAATCCAGTGAATTGCTTCTGTACAAACTGGCAATCAGGTCAGTTCATCTTTCCTACAGTCTATCAATGTTTGGTCTATCCAATCAAATTCACCAGCTCCCATTTTAGGTAGAATAAAATAGAAACTTTATTACATTTTGAAAATCTTTTAAAGTAAGAGAAATAAGGGGCAGAAAGTTTTAAAAATCAGCTTTACAGGTATACATGCTAACAGTGTTCTACAATTCCATTTTGCATACGTATAAAATACTTTATACAAAAATTATAGTGTTTTCATACATAAAAAGAATTAAATAAAAGCATTCAGATATGTCTATGATCTAACAGTGCAATATGCACATACTTGGAAGAAAAATACTGATTTCCTGAGCAACACTGTTGTAATTTAAATAAAGATTCCCACCATAATGCACCATTTAAATACAGATTTCTAAGAAGTTCACCTTTACCCTATAACACTTAGGCTGGATCTTGCTTGGTGATACTTCTAAAATTCTATCCTTCATGTTTCCAAGTAGGTAATTTTAGAAGTAACTTTAAAAAAAAGAATGATTTACTTAGTAGTGGTTCATTTAAAAAGTTCTTCAAGCCTAGGAATCGAGCAGAGTGTGTGTGTGGGGGGGGGGGGGAGCATTAGACACTAGTAATCCTGGAGAGTTGTTAATTAACATTAGTCTTGCTTCTAATTCTAGACGTGATGAGAAGGTTCCCTAACTCATTTTCATATCCTTTGAAGTCATTAACTCCATAATTTTCTAGAAGGGTGTCAAAAATGTTTAACTATGACATCTCTTAGTTAAAAATAAACTATTTCCAGACTTAAGAAAAAAAAAAAGCCCTAAACTACATTTTCCTTATTTAAACTCTATTTAAGTGAACCAAATGCAGTAATTCAGTTCTTTCATATTTGTAAAATAAAATGCCTAAAAATACCTTGAAATTAATTTAGTGAAAAGCAAAGTTTCAAAGTAGATTCCATAAAGGTGTAACAAAATTAAAATCCACAATATCAAATGACAAATTTACTTTAGTATGTTTTATAATCTTTTATTTGCTCCAATTTTTAAAAATATTAGTATTTTTAAAGCTAAATATTCCATATTATTTAGGAATTTAAATTTTAAATGACAATTTGCATCAATCATCCTATACATAAAAATATAGAATTACGTTAAATTCTATTAAAAAGTATGGAACTCTATCGAAAAAGGACAATTACTCAAATATACCATATGAATATATTACATTTCCTTTAAGGGATAGGACATCTGCAAGGCAGAAATGGTTTTGAGTCAACAAGTACATTATAAACCTTACTACTTTACAAATAAGTTATATATTTTTGGAAATTAGACCAGTCACCATTAGCAAAAAGGAACAACTGATCTCGTTTATCTGATGTAAGTTTTCAAAGGACATTTAGTCAGTTCTCCTCTGAAAATAATCTTCACTAAAACTTGATTCCCCCCCCCCGTAGGTTTAATAATTCCAATGTAAACTGACAGGTTAACACTGAGCACAAATTAGACTTATCACCTCTTTTCAAGATGCCCTAATGACATTAGGACATTAAAGTAAAATTACTCAAAACTTCAATTTGCTACATACAATTTCCATAGTAATACTTTTTTGGTAGTTGTCTGAATTCCTCTAATATGCAAAACTGATATTTGGTGTGTCAACATTTTATAGCTTGCTGCTGAAACGTCATAAATCCTCCTTTACCACTGATATTAACCCCACTTTGTTTTAAGATTGGACATTGGAATAGAAAAATGGTCAAAAAGTCGAAATATTAAAAATTAGGAAATAATGCTCAGTAAATGAAGTGGTAATCTCTCTCTTAAGGTATATGCTTTATTATACACAAGATAGGCAATCAAGACACCACCAAACCTTTAATTAATCATTTTGGTTACATTTTAAAAACACATACCTTTAAAAATTAAGTGAATCAGTATGCAAATGCTTATTTTGCCAGATTGGCTGATCCACAGCAGTTGTTAAAAAGTGGCACTATCAACCTTTCAACCAATTTCTACACACAGAACAACATCTCAGAGGTAGGCTGTGAAAATCTATTATTGTGAGAGTCACTTGTGCTTGATTGTGAAGGCAGAGATGAATTTATACAGCCTATGTTGTGAATTCAGCTTGACTACTTGAAGTTATGTTTTTATTTTCTGATGCTAAATAAACCAGCCTTTTTTTCCCCTGCAGTACCAGGGATCAAACTCAGTGCCTCACACATTCCAGACATGTGCTCTACCACTGAGCTGAATCCCTGACAATGCTTAATTTTAATTATAAAAATTACACTCGCTTACATAAAATATTTAAGGCATTAAAATGTAATTAAGGCATGTTACTACATGTAACACAGCAACAACTTCTCACAGTATGTAAGGAATTCTTTCCTAAATAATACTCATCTGTATTACACTTTTCGTCAAAGAATTACAAAAGTGCTTTTTCAAATATCAGGATATCTAAAAACTAAAAAAAAAAAACACTTAAAATTGTAGAGGCAGCATTATTTAACAGTAAAGATTACTTCTAGGTCTTCACCTAATCCAGTGTTCTAGTGACCAAATGGCAGATTTCCAAACACATTATTTGGGGGTTTAAAAATATTTAATCTTATTCATTTGCCTCAACATATTATACATTTCCTTCCCCTTTCTATTTCAAATTGTTTGCACAGCATACATGTTAAACATATTTCTTTTAAAGCTTCAAAATGGAATACTAAGTGTGTATTATCATAAATAATTTTAGAACCAAACTTTTTTGCAACTATTTTCATGGTCTACAGTAGTCAACCTTATTCAGTCATCAACAGATGATGTCATCATTATTCTGCTTAGTCAATTACTATTAACCTTAAATTAAAAGTGAACTAAAAAATATTTCAATCATAACAAGGCTAAAATGATAAAATGAATATTCCAAGCTAAGAAACTGAAAAATATAAATTCATTTCTCCTTTTAACAGATATGTTTACTGATACCAGATCAACAATATCAACTGTGTACTCAGCCCATTTGTAAATGGCTCCCCCAAATGGGTGAAAAACATAAAGCATCTTCAACCTCCCTAAATTCTGCCTTTGAAGCGGCCACTGAATAGAAGTGATACACTGCGTATTCCAAATACGTAGGTGATTTAACAACACTGTGACTGAGAGCTAATTGCTATATTCTGGGTTGAGCAGCAGGTGGCCGGGAATCTTGCCTGTATAGTTTATGATCATTTTGTTGGCCAAGAGGCACACCTTTAGTTGGAGCAATTCCATTTTCCATTTCTCTCTGCTGTGACGGGAGTGTGATTCCTGAATGCAAATGTGAAGAATCCGCTGTTGAATGGTGACTAACATCCACTTTAGCTAAAATTTCATAATACAGCAAATAAAACACTGGTGTTATTATACCTACTATTAACATTATGACTACAGCTGTCCACCACCCTATTCCCCAGTCAGCTCCATAATAAGGATCCTTGCGTTGAATGTTTCTGTTATCAGGTTCAAAACGTACTTGTTGTGCTGTTAACGCAGACACCACCTCATCAAGGTTTTCTCTTTTCGTATCTGTACATTTTACTATTTGTTCTATGTCTCGGTCTACTTCTTTTAAAAAGCTACCAGCTGACTCACTGGAAGAAACAGAATCATTAGGAGACAAAATTTCCGGTTGTTCTGGAACGTACTGAACAGATGAAGGACGTGAAGTTTGTCTTCCTTTTGGAGGATAAAGTGTTTCAGTCAATGAACTAAATTTTTTGACTGGAATTTTGATAGACCTAAGGGCAAAAAAGTCTTGATCACTGATGAGATTGTTAACCCGCTTGATATCTGCTACCTGTAAAAAGAAAAGTGCACATTCAACTGAATTCTAAATGAAAACAGGAAGTAATGTTCATTCATCCCAGTTACTTTTGGAGGAAAAAATAGGTTGAACTAAATAATAAGTATCCCACTCGGATATATTTTATTTTTGAATTAATATAACCACATCTAGTCCTAGGAAATCACTATTCTTTACTATCCCCAATTAATTTACACTGATGCTCACAATATACAAATAGATTAGAAAATCCTCCAATGTTTCTCTTTGTTCATCATGCACAAATTTACTTCTGCTGATTGTAAACAATTTGGGAAGGAGCAGTTATGCTCTTCCAACATGACAGAATACAAGTGTCGGTTTATCCGACTAAAATTTTTATCAAGACTATGATGTGATCAATAGCTGGGAGATACTCCAAAGGATTAGAGTGCATACTTTGCAGATGGGAGCCCCAGGTCAGATTCCTGGAAGGTCTCCTGGGCATTGCTAAGAGACCTCCTACCAACCCCCCACCCTGTCCCACCAAAAGGAAAACCACCAAAGAAATAAAAAAGTCCTAAGAGGTCACTTAGGCCATACTTTTATGTATGATTAGGACAATAAAAAAAACCATGCATACTAAAGATTCCAAGTCATGGGCCTTGGAAGTGATAAAAAACTTCATTTCCCTCACTTATCTTCTGAAGCCATTTCTCCCAAACTTCAGTACAAATGTATTATTCAATTAACCCCAAGATCAAGATCGGTCATTATTCTAAACAGTTATACTGTCCTCAATCTGTCTGTCCATCTGCACATGAAGAGAAATGTTTATGTAAAAGCATGCCAAGCTCTTCAAGCATCTTTTTTATTCCCGTTCACTGTTTCCAATGCTTTGACCATACCTATACTTGCTCATTGATCACCTATTGATATTGCCAGAGGTAAAATGAGTCTAAGATAAAAAAATTTTTTCCCTTATTTTTGGGCTACATCCAGCTGTGCTCAGGGACTATTCCTAGTTCTGTTCTCATCAAACCCAGGCTGGACTGGCTGCATGCAAGGCAAGCATCTTAACTGCTGTACTGTCTCTCCGGCCCCACACTTTTACTTCTAATATCATCAATTCAATAGGCGACAATACCATTCACTGAGATATAGACTACTGTGAAGAGAGACAAGAATGAATGCACCTTTTGCACATTAACTCTGGGTGTCTTACAATGTGCAAATGAAAGATGACAGTAAGATGCATGTCTGAAATTCAGGAAAAAAACCTTTGGGAGGCCACATCAGTTTGTGTGGCTCAAAGGTCACTCCTGGCTGTGCTCGGTCCCATGCAGTTCTGGGCATCAGCCTGAATCTCCTGCGTGTGCAAAGCACACACTCCAGTCTATTCAGCTATCTCTCCAACCCAAAACACTGAATTGAAGTCACAGAGTAGGAAGATTTAATAGAAACAACAACAACAACAAAAACCAAGACTGGGAAAAAAAAGGTGGCACTGGGAGAACCCTATGGCATGCCAACACTCAAGGGATAATGATATAAACCCACAAAGAAAATTAAGAATTCTAGGAAAATATATGATGGTAGTTAAAAGCTGAGCATGGTTTGAATTTAAAGTTGAAGGAAGGTCTGATACTGTGTAATTTGGAGTAAGTTATTTACAAATTCTGTAATTTATGTAAATTCATGTAAAATGACAGCAACAATACTACCTACCCTACAACGTAGGTTTGAAGATTAATAGACTGTATGAAGAACACTTAGAACAGACATGACCTACATATGTAAATGCAAACATTAGCAATTATTAATAGTAGGAAAATCAGAAACCACAGAATCAAAGCCAAAGGAGGACTTTTAGAAGTGGCAAAATAGGATAAACTGCAGATTACTGATTAAATCCAATGACACCTGCAAAAATTCTTCTGGGAAAAATCAGTCCTTGAAATACATGTTTGAGAAGAGGAAGGAGGGAGAACTGAGAAACTAGCAGAGACAGTAAGTTTAAGAGTCAGAATGATGTATATATATGTTTAATGTTTTCACATGACCGTATTTACTGGCCTGATAACCCCTAAATCCTGACCCTATTCTCTTTAGATGTTCTTTGCTTGTTGGTATTATGTATTCAAATAAATTGCTACTTAATATTCTTGAGTAGCTATTATAATTAATGTCCAATTAATAATGGAAAGGACCTAATTCTAAAATTTTAATATCGACCTCAGTTTCTAAAATTTATTATGTACCCATTTCCCTCTCTGCATATTTCTATAATAGATCCTATTATGTCATGTTTGTTGCATTTGGGAATTCCAACCTCTTGACTTTTTACTCCTCGTAACTCCAAAGCAGTATGCTTAGTGTTGTGAGCTGCATACAACACAGAAATTTTTTTTGGGGGGGGGTCACACCCAGCATTGCACAAGGGTTACTCCTGGTTCATGCACTAAGGAATCACTCCTGGCGGTGCTTTGGGGACCATATGGGATGCTGGGAATCGAACCTGTGTTGGCCCGCGTGCAAGGCAATCGCTCTACCCGCTGTGCTATTGCTCCAGCCACAACACAGAAATTTTAAACAAATCTTTTTGTAATGTTATTCTTCTTATGCTAGTTCAACTGATAAGAGTATTGCTTATTTAACTCTCCAACTGCTATTACAATTTTCCCAGTGTATCTTTCCTCTAAATTAAATGCCATTAATAATTTTTCATCAGTAGGATCAACTGATACACCTTGCGATTTTCCTCAAGCACATTTTCTGTCAAATTTTAAAAAGTTTATTTTGGGGGTGGTGCTGAGGCTCAAATCAGGGTCTCATACATATAAGGCAAGCACTCAACCACCAATCACATTCCCATTTAGCAAACTTTCAAATCAAAATATGCAATATATATACTGATCAACTATGAATAATTATTCAGAAAAAAACAGCATCTCATTATTATAGAAATTTTATTAATTTAAATGTTTCTATTGCAAAAAACTTATAAATGTTTTCAAATATAAAACTTTACATTATAAAAGTTTTCAGAAACAAAATATTAAGGGGGAAGAATGACTGGTATAAAATTTCATGTGGCTACACAAAGAACTCGCACATACACAGATTAAATAACCAAGAATCTCAGTAAGCAAATCCTGATATTTTGAATCCTACAAACATTATTCTAATACATTTCAAAATATTAAGGTTGATGACATCATGGAAAGAGTTTGTAAGTATTCAAAGTCATTAAGAGAAGTTCATTTAAAAATGTCCAAGGAAGTATATGCTATGTACAGGTCAACATTCTCTATGAAGTTTGAGAACAAAAGAACTGAAAATCAATTTCTAAACAGTTTCCATATAAATGTACTGTCATGAAAAACCACTGCTAAATATGCAAAATGGACATAATGACACAAATCTGAAACTGTTTTAGACAAAGTACTATTTATTTAAACTATGCTTTCCCTTTCACCTAGTAATCTCACTTTTGGGACTCTATTACATCAAAACCAAGATGCCACCATTTGAAGATAAACTTGTGAGAGTATTCACTGCATAGTGCAGAACAAGGAGGAAATCTTGATTCTCCGTAAGTTCGAGAACAGGTTAACGATTGTGGTACATTCATACTATGAAACAGAGCTTTATATAATACGAAGTTAGAAGAATGTTCATGATATGCTAAGAAACAAGAAAAGCAAAGGCAACTTGTGGAGTAATGTGCAGAGTATAAACCAATTTTAAAGCTGTCAAAGTCACCAACACCTGAAGGTCTTCATAATCTATACCTCTAGTACAAAACAAACAAACAAAAAAGAACATAACAAGAAACACAATGAAGTTTGTTATCTCAGGGAACTGGGCAGAGAAAAATATTTCCGCTTGTGTATCTACATGTGTACTTCTTGCAACTTGGAAAAGGAAAACAAGGTAACAGGTTTTTTTTTTAATACTGAAAATATCATGGATTTGGATATAAGAAGAAATTCAAATATTTATGTAAAACTGAATATCCATCAACAGATTTGTTTCTATGAGAAAGAAAGGAAAATTTAAGATAAATGGACAGATAAATTTCTCATTGTACTAATAATCAAATAATATATTTTGGACTGCATTGTATAAAATTAAATTAAGACTTACCGTACAACAGTACTGAAGGGCTATTGCATTTAAAGTATCGCCTTCCTGTATGTCTTTTGTAAGTACTATAATGTCATCAAGTCTATCTTTCGATGTACTTCTTCGGACTTTTTCTTTTCCCCTGGGTCGAAGCTCATACACTTCAGCGTCCTCTTCCAACAACAAATCACTGTCTGTACAATTTCCAAATGCATGTGCTTGACCACTTGAATGGACTCCTGGAAGAGGAAAACTACGATTCTGATGCCTCCCCGCCATAATTTCAAAACCTGTTGGGAGAAACAAGGCAGAGGAAAATCTGAAAAGTAGCTCATTCACTTATCTAACGGACATATTACACTCAAGGTATTTTATCTTTTGATTTTTAAAAGAATAATTTTAGTTTTTAAAAATTTTAACTGTACATGGGGCTGGAGAGACAGTCCAGCGGGTGTGGCGCTTTGCTGTGCACGTGGTCAACCCAGGTCCCATCCCCTGAACCCCATTCAGGGTGATTCCTGAGAACAGCCAGATGTGGACCCCACACTTCCCCCCAACCCCCCAAAAACCGAAGTTCAAGTTTTATAGACATCGAAGCACAGTTCATACATTTTGCAATGGCATAATGAGATGGGCAAAGTAGAGATCGTGTATTTCAAAATGGGGGGCTGTTACATCTCAACAAGGGCAAACAGTATTTTTTAGTAAAAGAGCAAATTCCCTTTATTCTGAGCATATGAAAATAAAGGAAATAGTTTTGCATTTTTTAATGCGTACTCTATGTGTGTCATATATACAATTTATTATACTGAGATTGAGATCTGTTTTATATCTACACATCCAGTAAGTTTAAGACCCCAAATTTCTGACTTCCACTATTTTCGTGTGTGGCCACACCCAATGGTGCTCAGGCCTCCTGGCAGGGCCTGTGTCATCACATGCTGAGCCAAAGGTTGAGCTAGGCTCAGCAGCGTGTGACGCAAGCACCTTGACTCCTGTACTCTCCTACACCCTGGCTTCCACATCTTCAGTGTATGAAGGACTATATATCTTTTATAATAGCTATTGACCTCCCTGGATCATGCTGACTTGAGTCATCATCTGTAGTTAATACAGTATGTGTTTTTTATTTGTGACAAGATTTTGCTTGACCAGAGGTTTTCTTTCCCTGGAAGCTTTAAAAAATACTTCAGAAAATCCTCATCAAACTCAATTTATGTCTATGAATGGATTTTAGATCACTCTCTCATTTCTACTTCAAAGAAAAAAATCTTACACTGATATCAACAAATAGTTCTTGTTTTTGTTTTTGCTTTTTGGGTCACACCCGGCAAAGCACAGGGGTTACTCCTGGCTTTGCACTCAGGAATTACTCCTGGCGGTGCTCAGGGGACCGCTGGGAATCGAACCTGGGTCAGCTTGTGCAAGGCAAATGCCCCTACCCACTCTACTATTGTTCCAGCCCCGAAAAATAGTTGTTAAAACTGCAACTCATGCCTAACTCACCATCCTCAAGATGTTCCATTTTCATTAGAAACAGAAACCACACTACTTCCACATTCAGTTTCAGCTTCATATTAGTCGCTCCCACAAAGTTTATACCATTTTCTCAAAATTATTTTGTTTACCTTTAAATAGCACCTACCTATTCCTAGTAGACAAGTTGGTTTACCTTCACTTCTTACTACAGAATTAAAGATGTGTGAAATCAGAGCTACCCTTTATGCTATTAATTTATAAAAATAAGGCCTGGTCATAGCTAAAACAAATTCATTTTACTGATATGCTTCCAAATATCAACACTAAAATTTCCCTACTAAAACAAAAAGAAAGAACATAGATTACTTTCGGTTACCGTGAAAGATGGGGAGAAATCAAAAGGGCAGAGGGGCTATTCTGGAGACAGAAACATCCCCTACGTTCTTTCAACTTAGGACTTAAAAATGTTGCTCACATATGAAGAGAAAGGGGTCAAAAATAAACTTTCTCATTCTATCACTGAGCAAAGAGAAAAAAGATTCTCTACAATCTGGATCACTGCCAGAACAATTTGGGAGGAGGAGAAACACGAGCATAAATTCCTTTACAGAAACAAAAGTCAAAATAGCCAAGTGGACACTGCCACAAAAAATTCTGAAAGATCCAGATTATTAATGGTCATTGGACACATGAATGAAGAGGTGAGAACTGAAGCAGTGGGCGTAGATAAGAAGACATGAAAGAAAAACAGAATAAACAAAGTGGGTCAAGACTGCGCCTTTGGCTTAACTTTCCTCATAGTGAAGGAAAATCAGTCTGAAAAGAAAAAAAGGGAGTGTTTATAGGAGGCGGAAATCATAAAAACCTAAGGTAAACTGTCTCAAAGTTCCAAAAGAGGCCAACTCCTAAAGTCTAGGTTTCGAATACAGATGACAATAAATGATATGCTCTACGAAAGAAACACAGAGAAAATTGGAAACTCTAACTATATCCAATCCTGGAAAACCCGTTTCTAGAAGGCTCTATACACGTACAGCCATACTTAAGACAACAGCAATAATAGCTACATATTACATGGATCTTTCACCAACTCCCACAAACCCTACATGTACCATAAACTCTGACTCCCAACTTCCTGGCCACTAAACCTACCCAGCATCTCCGCAGTTCCGAAGTCACCGACACTTCCACTCCTTCAGGGAATCCTAACTAGTGACAAGAACTCCAAGTTTCAAGATTAAAGTATTTTTAATACAAAAATAAAATAAATACATCTTGGGGCTGGAGCAATAGCACAGTGTGGGTAGGGCGTTTGCCTTGCACGCGGCCGACCCGGGTTCGATTCCCAGCATCCCATATGGTCCCCTGAGCACCTCTAAGGGTAATTCCTGAGCGGAGAGCCAGGAGTAACCCCTGAGCATCGCCGGGTGTGACCCAAAAAGCAAAAAGAAAATAAATAAATAAATACATCTTTTTATTTAATTCTCATGAGTTTGTAGAGCATTTCATCTTTGACTAAAAGAAGTAAGCTTTATTTCCAGTCATTTAACTAAGGGGATTTTTTTTGGGGGGGCGGGGGTCCGCAGCTGACAATGCTTAGACGTTACTCCTGGCTCTGCACTCGGGAATCACTCCTGACGGTGCTCGGGGGACCATACAGGATGCCAGGGATCGAGCCCGGGTCGGCCGCGTGCAAGGCAAACGCCCTACCCGCTGTGCTATCGCTCCAGCCCCAAACCAAGTGTTCTCCTAGGAATATCTACGAATGCTCTGCATTTATAGGGAAAACTGTTAGACGTACCTATCTTCCTAAGAGAGTACTGGCGGGTCCTCTCTCGAGAGAGAGACCCGCGATTTGGCAAGGGCCACTTAATACACGCGGCTGGCTCGGCGCGACAAACGGGACTTCGCCGGACAAAGCTCCAGAGCCATCCGGTCCATTCATTCGGTCCTCGAAGCTAGGGTCGGTGATCGGGACTCGTAAGCCACGGGGAAAAAGAAGCCCAAAATAAACAAGTACTGATAATCAGATACGTTTACTTATTTATTTGGGGCTTGGGGGCCACCCCAGGCCGGGCTCACCGTCCGCTCTATGAAGTAGCAGGGACTGGCCCGAGCTCTGGGCACCTTGCAAGACCTTGCAAGGCAAGGGTCTCTTAGCCGCTGTCCTGTCCTCTCTCTCGCGCCCCGTGGCCCCTCACTCATCAGCATTTACAAGTTGGGACTTCATGCATCTCTCCACTCCCCCACTTTGCAGCAGCGGAAACCCCGGCTGCAAAATCCCACCAACAGGACCTTCTGCTGTCACTCAAGAATCAAGAACTGCTGTCCCTAACGAATGCGGGGGGGGAAAAGCTAGACTCTGGTCCGGTCCCAGATAACTGTCTATCGAGATCAGAGAGTCGAGTCGCCCCGGAGGATTCGCGTTATCTGCGGCTTTCCCTCCGGCTCGGGCGTCCCTACCTAACGCCGACCCGCCTACACGACACGCACAGATCCTCAATCACAACATGCAGTTTCCCGGGGGAGGCGGTGAGGCGAACGAAGCGCTTGCAAAGCATCAGCCGGGACTGAGGCCCAGCCCCCAGCACCTCTGCGGGGGCTGCAGTGCTCACCCGGCCCGAAGCGGGAGCACCGCGGGCCGGCCGGCCAGCCAGCCAGCGCCCACTCGGCTTCGAGAACTTTCCTTCTCTCCCTGCCGCTTCCACACGTCTAGTTTCTTCTCGGGGGGGTGGGGGGTGGTGTGTGTGTGTGTGTGTGTGTGTGTGTGTGTGTGTGTGTCTGTGGTTTTGCTTCCCCTGTAGGTCACACACTCGCACTTGCACCGCGATGCCGTCGGGGAACAGTCACCGTCAACAACCCGTCGCGGAAGACGCGCAGGTGGTTTGGGGACCGGGGCGCCGCGCCGCGCCACTCCGCCAACAGCTGGGTCCCAGCGCCTCTTCCGAGCCTCAGTTTCCCCACAGGACCCCGCACGCCCGCCCGCCGCGCCCCGGCGCCCCCCGCGCCCGCCGCCATCTTTACCTGTCCCGTTAGCAGGAGGGCCGCGACCACGGGAGGACCCACGGGAGGTCGTCAGACGCCGCCGGCATCCGGGGCCGACGCATCGCCTCGCCCGTCCCTCGGCCGTCGCCGCCCGCGTCTCCACCTTCCGGGCCGTGCGGCGCCGCCACGTCCGCAAACCTGCCGTGCGTCATGGCGTCAAGTGGGCGGAGGTGGGGCCGGGCGGGGGAGGAGGCGGCGGGCGCGGGCGCGAGGGCTCGCCCGCCGCCGCCGCCGCCGCCGCCGCCGACCACACAGCCGCGGCTGCCGCCCGGCGCGCAGGCGCGCTGCGCCGCCCGGGACATGGGCGGGGCTCGAGAGCCAGCCGCCTCGGGCCCCGCCCTCTAGTCCCCGCCCCGGGCCCCGCCCTTTAGTCCCCGCCCCGGGCCCCGCCCTCTAGTCCCCGCCCCGGGCCCCGCCCCGACTCTGCGGCGTAAGCCCCGCCCTCCAAGGGCTGGCCCCTCCCAGGCTCCGCCCACTCGCCCCGCAGAAGCGCTCCCCGGGACCTAGGAATCCCGCGGGCTCACCCGCGACCGTGCGCGACCTGCTGACGGCGCCTTTGTCCTTCGTCTGCACAGCCCGGGCAGAAACTGTCCGGAAGGCTCTGACGAGGGGGAAGCGTTCAAGATTCGTAGGGGTGGGGGTTCTTGTGCAGCTCTTGCTCTGTGTCTGTAGGGAGGGAGGGGAAGAAGTCCCCAAAGCATAGCTTTCTCATTCACAGTTAAGGAATCTGTCCTGTGCTGTTTTACCCTTTAATGCGTGAAGCCTCTGGATTTCTGCAGAAACAGCAGGATGCTAGTGGAGAAACTATTGGCGGGCGATGGCTTGAGCCTTTGTGTTTTTAGATGTGGAAAGTGCGCCCCCTAGAGTCAGGTTTCAGGAAGTGTTTCACTTGCCTTAAGAGTCCAACTTATTCAGGCTTCCAAATTTTCTAGGAGGAAGAGCAGTCAACAAATTGTAATCTAATTTGTTTTGTACCCAAAAATGAACCTAAAGCAATTGATAGTTACTGCTAGTGTATATGAGATTTAGTTGTTAGATAACATCGTAAATCAATTTTTCACAAATGTACTAAATTTATATAAATGAGTGTATAGCTTTTTTGTTGCTGTTCTTTTGGAAGTGAATAGCTTAAAAAAATGATGGTGTACAGTGTTTTCATGATCACCCTAATGTCTCCCAGTGTTGATGTTACAGAGTTTTCCCTCTTGACCACCACACTGCCTTTGAATTTCTATTTGAGTTACAAAACAAGCACAGTGCTGGGTGCAGAGACCTTTCGGAATCTTTACATCTTGAAGCCTTTGAAGCCTTTTTTTTTTAAGTCCTTTTCAAAGCATATGCTGTTTTGTTTTCTGGTAAGCGCTAAGGAGGGTTCGGATTCTACAGTGCAATATTTTTCTCTTATTTGGAAGGACAGCCACTGTTCTCCATAATGCTACGAAAAGAACTGTGGGAGTAGACTTAGAAACAATTTTTTTTGAAGTTTGTTAGAGCTCTTCTGTGTACTGGTGCCCTTATGACACCTCTGTCTGTAACCATTTATCACTGAGACATTTTCTCATCAGTAGACAAAGGATATATTCCCTACTTGGTATGTAGAGCTTCAGCTGCTCAGCCTTCATGAATGTTAATGTGAATACAACCTTCATTCTGCACATAGGTTACTTTTCTTATTTTAATGTCAATAGGCAGTGGAATCCCTGTGAGAGACCAAGTGGCACAATTTCAAACATTTCTACCTGTTTCTTTTGTATAAATACTTTCTCGTTGATATCTGCATACTCTTCAATTCCTACTTATATTTAACCCCGGTGCAATTATTAAACTATTTTTTACGAAAAGACAATAAGAGAATTATATTTTATTATAAGAATATATAAAGGAAGCAGTTAACCATGAATTTTGGCCAAGTTCCAAAAAGCTGGCCAGTAGGAACAAGGATTTCGTCTCTGAGAAAAAGGATGTATGTCCCCAGTACTCAGCAAAGCCAAAAGACTTTTTTTTTTTTGAGATCTCTACTGACACAGTTTTTATTAAAGGCTATTGATGAAAGAATATGTAGTTTCTATGAATGTGTTTCTGTCACTATGTTTAGGTTTGGTGATTTAGTCCAGATTTAAAATTGCATTGTAATGAGATTGTAGATTGATGTGATCTATTAAGAATGTTACTTGGCAATATCTATCAAAGTTTAAAATGCAATTGACTGAAAAAAATGCAATTGACTGAACTCGTACATGGCTAAGCAATTACATTAAATTCATTTACAGATAAATGTTAGGAAACAAAATCCAACTGAGTAAAATTTAAAGATCTTACTGGCTTTATTCAATGAGCCATTTATCAGGCAGCATTCCATTTAGCAGACAGATAGAAGCTCAGATAGAAACACATTTTGCAAAATGACAGGCTTTAATAGGCAGAAAAGAGTGACGACAAGGACCATCTTATACGAGCAGAAAGGAAATTGATTTTAACAAGGTCACTTTTCCTTTAGGAGATTAAAGAGACCCTTTACCTCACTACTGCTAAACAGTGATTCCAGATTAACTGCTTTCGTTTCTGTGTCTGGGAAAGGCTGGAACTCTAAGTTGAGTTTTGTATCAGTGACATAGGCTTAGGATATGTGACTCCATTTTGGACCTCTTGTCTTATTAAATTTGATTTTTGTAATTAATAGGATACACTCATGAAGGTGAATTCATTATGATAATAGTTAAAAATCTGAAAGTATTCTAAACATGTGCTGTTGCACCCTGCATACTTCTGATATTTATATTGTAATATTTTACTTTTGCCCGAATAAAAATTTAATCTGTGTTTTCTATTGGTTTATTCCTTAACAATTTTTGTTTGGAGGAAAAGAATCTGTGAGGACTTTCTTTTAGACTCTAGTAATGCTTAGAGTAATGCTTATTTGCTCGAGGTAAAGGCCCTCCCGTTGATCGTCGATTTGCTCGAGCGGGCCCAGTAACGTCTCCATTGGAGACTTTGTTGTTACTGTGTCTGGCATATCGAATACTCTCGGCAGCTTGCCGGGCAGTGTAATGCTTATAAGCACAATGAAATGCTTACAAACACAATCTCCTTGCTCACAGAGTTTCCTTGAGTGAGCACAGAAAACAATCTTCAAACTGTACTTAAAGAGAAAACTATGTCTCCCTATACAATGGATATGTAATTCCTTCACAATTCAGACTTTAGTGTATGTTCCTTTATCTCTCCCAGATCCCTACGCACACATTCATATATTGGTGCCAAAAGGTACTGAAAGCTGAGTTTGATTTTTCTTTCTGAAAATTATGCAAGGAATTTTAATAGAAGTTTAAAGGAAGTAGATGTGGCAAGAGAACAGACAGAAGCTTTTGTCTTTACTTCTTAGATACCTAGACATAGATTGCATTGTATATTGCCATAAGAATTAGTTGTAAAATTTTTTTCTTTACTTAACCAGGTAAAGGCCCTCCCGTTGTTCGTCGATTTGCTCGAGCGGGCCCAGTAATGTCTCCATTGGAGACTTTGTTGTTACTGTGTCTGGCATATCGAATACGTCACGGGTGGCTTGCCAGGTTCTGCCGTGTGGGCAAGATACTCTCGGTAGCTGGCCGGGCTCTCCGAGAGGGGCGGAGGAATCGAACTCTGGTCGGCCGTGTTGGCTGCGTGCAAGGCAAACGCCCTACCGCTGTGCTATCGCTCTAGCTCTGCTTTGCACGCAGCCCTGCCTTGCACGCAGCCAACATGGCCGACCCAAGTTCGATTCCTCCTCCCCTCTCGGAGAGCCCGGCAAGCTACCGAGAGTATTCGATATGCCAGACACAGTAACAACAAAGTCTCCAATGGAGACGTTACTGGGCCCGCTCGAGCAAATCGACGAACAACGGGAGGGCCTTTACCTTTACCTTACCTTTACTTAACCAGGGGACAGAACAATAGTACAATGAGTAGGGCATTTGCCTTCCATGCAGCAGAAGGCAAATGGTTCTCCCAGGTTCTATACCCAGCACCCAGTATGGTTTCCCGAGCCTGTCAGGAGTGATCCCTGAGCACAAAGCCAGGAATAATACCACTGGGTGTTGCCCAAAAACCAAAAAATAAAATTAAGACCAAACATATGTATTAAATAACTGATATTTCTTTTATCAAAATAATCTATAGTTAGCCGTCTATTAACCATTCCTGAATCTGTTTAAATCTTATAGACAAGAAGTGGGCGCCTATAGAAAACTACCAATTAAGGCCCTTGGAAATCAATAAGTGAAAGGATGGGAACATTGAATTCTCTTTACGTATCTTCTTGATTTACCTCTACCATTCTCTGTACCTACCTTTACTTTTCAATTCTAATTTCTACAAGAAAGACTGAAAAAGGTTATAAGGGGATATTTAAAGCATCTCAAATAAAATTAATACTAGATTTTTCACATGCATGAAGGTACCGGCAGAGGAACAAAGGCATGCGGGTCCTGGGGCTGAGATCTCCAGGCCTGCTCGGATTGGGGCTGAGCATCCTCCACCCAGATCCTCCATCTCCCAGTAGGCAGGGGTCACACCCACCAACTGGCCCCCCGGCACCGGGTAATCCCATCAACGGCCAAGACCCAGAGACTATAAAACCCAGCTCCCAGAAGAGAACAGCGCAGATATGCTTATTAGAGATTAATCAGACAACCTCCCTAATTGCTGTTTACCTTGATTATTTTTTTTAAATGCTTTCTATGATAAAGCTCTGTCAAAATGTCTACCAAGAAGTAGTCATTTAACTCTTAAATGTAGTCAGAGGCACTTTAGGATCCCAGAAGTACTAATTCTAATTAGTTCTTAGTTACTAATTCAGAAACATTAAATAAATCTTTCTGATGTTTCCATCCATACTGACAATACTTACTGAAAAAAATAAAATACTATTCTTAAATACTTAAGCTACATAGTATGAAGAGAATTCAATTGTTATATGTTTATAGCTAACTAGTCTCTAACTTGCAATGTTTTGTTTCTCATATATTTACTTATAACAATATAACAACATGTTATGATTTAATTATATTGTGCACATATAAGTAAATCCAGTATAGGTGAATTTCCTAGGAACTGTAATCTTCTTGCTCTTGTGCTTACTCTTACAAAGGCCTGTGATGGTCAGAATTCAATTAAGTCCTCTTCAACAAAGTATAACATGACGATGATGCTGTATTGTATATATTTATATGAACTGGGTGATTATTC